ATAAATATATATATATGTATATATATGTATATATATTACATAAATCAGTAAATTCATCAATTCTAACGTATCGAGACAAGAACTGTTTTATGTATACATGTATACGTTTCACTGTAAAACTATTAAATGATAAACTTTCAACTGCAGTAATTAAACGGAAACTGGCGCAGGCATCCGCTGTTTACGAGAGGTGTTTGTACTGGAAAGTAGTTATGTGACACTCACTTACACTAAAGTTGTGTACAATAGAGTCTCCAGGAATTGTAGAATTTACTACGAAAGTTTAGCTAAAGTGACAACAAGTATGTTCCCAGTGAGTTCTGTAGTCCCGCGTGGTATTCGGATTAACAAAAATTAAATCTATAGTTGGCACAATCTGCCTGGAAAGGACGGAAAGCGGAACTCTCTCTCTCTCTCTCTCTCTCTCTCTCTCTCTCTCTCTCTCTCTCTAAAGTATAATAACATTCTTTCCCGCGTAATATCTAAACGTATAACATACTTAAACGCGCGCACAGATGCTCGCAAACGGATTTGCGCGAGTATCAAGCCATGGACGCGGACGCCACGTGTAAGCAAGTCGTGCAACGTGACTCTCTCCGTTAGAAATGGCGACGACGTGATTTTTCTTCCGCTGGAGTAATGGCACGGCCGTGAAGGGGTTAGTATCAGGGTGCGCAGCAGACATTTCGAATGCTCCAAGTTGGTAGCTCGTCACTCGTCGAGATGGAAACGTGCCTACGTATATAATGTTTGCTCTTACGAGGTACGAACTCCCGGATGACTTCGCTTAAATTCGGAGTACTATTCTTAATGGGGCGTCATTTGCCCGCTTATGGAAGGTCTTCCGTTTCTCACTAAACTTCGGTATTATATCTCGCGAGGAGTGAGAGCTGCCGGTATAAATCGCGCGATACAGCTTGGAAAGTCGGATGGAAACCACCGTCGAATTTTGCGGTGCGTGCGAGCTGTCTGTAATTTCTCATTGTTCCCACTTCCGTCCGCGGCGTCTGATTAAGATAGAATTCTGTTTCCGTAATTTTATAATATTTCCGGGAATTTCAGCTTAATTTTCGAACGTGAAAGAAACAAAATTACGGCTTACTTGCTCTACGAAAGAAAGGAATTTATTATATTTTTTATTATGGGCGTACCTTTGTTTAGTCTTCATTATATAGACGTATTTTTAATAGATACGCAGGTAACAAAAAAAATATATATATATATATTTACGTAAAACTGCTCTGTTATTATTAATATATTTATTTTATATTTTAAAAATTTTTCTCTGCTATCCTATTTTTCTCTGCGATAATCATTAGTTTCCAAGATTTCTAACATGTCTATGAATCCGTGCTGGAGTCTGGAAGTTTATGCGATGTCAGAGCGTTGTGCTACACAAAAGAAAAATCGCTTCAAAGTGCTCGTTCAGCAAGAATTCTGTTTTCTTTTTTCGCTCTGTATTTTCTCGTATACTTTTCATAGCGGATTTTTCAATATTATTTGAATGTTATTTCTATGGATGTTTTTTTTTTTTTTTATAATATTAATAACACGGGCAAAACATTCTTATAAATATCTCGAAATAACTTCAGTCAGAGTAACGAAGCAAAAAAAAAATTTTTTTCATCTTTATTCCTTTTTTATTTCTTCTGTCGGATTGGAGAACATAAATAAAAAAAATCAGCGTTTAAAAATTCAATAAACAAAAGCAAAGTAGACGTTTATAAATTGATGTATCGAGGCATACATTAAACGTGTGATAGTACTTTAATAAATACAGTTATATTTTGCTTTTCTATCGTAATACGCACCCGATGTATCATAATATATCATTTTCGTATTTGCTATGTTAAACATGAATTATTTAGATATTAGTTAATGGGGTGAATTTCATCGTTATAAATATCCGATATATCCTCTAGCCAGTACGTAAATAATATACGCGCATAGACGGTGATTTGATGAGTTGTTCTCGTTACAGTTTCAAAGGCGTGTATCTAAAGTGCTTTAAATATTATATTCTAATTACGTAATTACATATGCCGGGAAGCGTCAACGCTGTAACGAGGTAATTTATCGAAATGATGTTGTTAAAATTTACACGATTAATAGAAATGGGACGAGTACCCGGTACAGATGTATAACACGCGTAATTGTTGAAAATTGCTTATGCAGTATCAATTTGCAAAATACGCCGTTGCTTGTTGCAGACTATAGTTATGTATCCCAGGCCAAACATCATCACGTGCACCGTGCGCGTATGGCTACGAGAAATTGGCTTTTCTCTCACATACGGGGCTCTCATGCTCAAAACGTGGCGGTAAGTGTGCTTCATTTCTTGATGGCATTACATTTTGCTCGTTTCCTCACCATTTTCCTTATTCGTTCCGTCAACAAGAGTTTGTTGACGTTCTCCAGTCGAACTTTTACTGTCAATGATAATTATATAATAATTATATTTATTCTTTTTATTCATTTTATTTATATCATTTATTTATCTTCACGTTCCCTCCTCATTCCCTTTTTTACGGTGTGATAACGAGTTCAAAACTTTTCTCTTAAAGCTGTACTCGTCAAAGTTTTATTTTGATTATTTCATGACTTCTTTAGTCGGACTGCGAAAGCGCAAATTTAAGAAAAAATAATAATAACCGAGAACTGTAATTTTTGTAGTCTACAATTTTTCTAACGTTCTTTCATGTGATTTTTCTGTGTAAAGATTTATCGGGATTTATACAATATTTATAACCAACTCGTTTGCCGCCATTGAAAAAAATAACGGTGCCGTTGAAGTGCGTCAAACGTTACGCAAACGCCCATAGAATATTAATAAATCTATTTAGACTTACACAAAATACTAGTTATTTCCTGGTGTTAGCGTTAAATCCATAAATTCTCTCATCTGACTGCGAGGGCTCGGCCCAGTCAGTCGAAAAAAAAAAAAAGGAAAAAAAAAGAAACAAAACTAGAATTCAGTCTAGATAAAAAAAAAATGGATCCGATGAGATCCGCTCGTGTTATGCTTGCAGAATATCCGTGATCTTCCGAGTGAAATCGGCAAAGGCCGTAAAAATAACAGACGCGAGCCTGCTGAAGCGGCTCGGTATCATCGTCCTGACGTTCAGCGTGTTCCTAAGCATAAGGACATTGGTCGCACCGCCCGTCGTGATCGTCGCACGAACTGCCGACGATCTCAAAGCGTATCTCTGCCGAACTGACTGGTGGGACCACAGCTTTACCACTCGTGAGTACCCGTCGTGGACGGTATCGCTGTGTGCTGTGCATAGGAAAGAGATATCGACTCGCTTAATCCTTCGCTGTACGCTCAGTGCCTTCGATACCACGGACTTTTGTAATCGTAAGCTGTATCGTAAGCTCCAGTGAAATATGAGCACGATGCAGGGCTCGTGTATATGTATATATATATATATATATATATATATATATATGTGTGTGTGTGTATATGTA